AGAAACCAGCTTTCTACTTCCTGTTCCCCCATCACTAGCGTCAAGAAGCACCCCAGGCCCACCGGCTGGGATGAGAAAGTGGCCCCTGGTTCAGGGCTCGTCACAGTAGAGACACAGCATCTCTTTTCATGTGTTATCTCGTGCTAATTGCCAGCTGGATTTTCTTGCCATTTTCTACCTAATGCTTATCTCAATTCCTTGTCCCTCCTGAATTTTCTACAGTGTTTTTTAGTAATCATGGCTCTTACCCCCACTTTCAGCAAATCTAGATTATGCATCCATTTTTTAGGGTCACATGTATGTATTTCTGCATATTTTTAACCTGAAGGATTTTAGCTCTTAGAAATTTATTTGGAATAATGACAAACAGATTCACTGGAGATTAAGAAGCTTAATTTAGACCAGGACAGTTGTCCAGCAGACACTAGCGGATCATTTAGTAATTAAACTCGGTGGGAGTTGTCACTCAGAAAGCTGACAGGGCCAGCTCAGGCCAAGAAAACCTGTCAGTGCATTAGCAGAAATAGAGCTGGTGACTTCTGACCCTGTCACCGAGTGTTCAAACCACAGAGCCCTCCAGTTCCCCAAATGCTGGAGTCACTGGACTCCGGACTAAATGGCCCCAGCCTTTCACATGTGGCAACGTCAAGAATTTTGAAGTTTTTAGTGTCATCAGAATTCAAAACCAACTTCCCCAGCCCCTTTCATTACATGGTGATTAAAATCTGTGGACTCTGGAGTTTTCTATACCTGACTATTTCACTGAGACTGTCCTTGAAAAATGTTATTACCAAAAATCTGCAGAGCCAAGAAGTGAAAACATAGATGGGGTAGGGGAGAGAGATAGGTGGGTAGATTTTAACTTCCCAAACTGAGGATTAAGAAAAAAATCCTTATAAATTGACACCATGCATTACAAACTCTGTAGCCCAAAGACCTATGAGTTAACCTTTTTTGTTTCTAACAGGGTGAGAATCTGTGGCATTGTGTAGTTATTCTGATGGGTTGGAGGTACAAAATGGTAAAGCCTATCCGTTCCCTGTTTTTAACTGTGCTTATTGTATATGTAATAGGTATGATTCCATATGAGTTTCATTTGGAAATCCATATACTTAACACACTGTATGGGCAAGTCAGCATAATATGAGCTTTCCACCTAAATACTGAAGCAGTCTGCCTCACCTACTGCCATATGAGCGGGTCCTGACTGCACTTGGGTTCACCTATGACTGATACTATGGAATATTCTGGAAGGACTAAATGCCTATCCCCTTTCTGTCTCAGTCAGTCACTTGTCCTGCGGCCTTGAGCAAGGTTCTTATTCTCTCAAGAAATCTGATAATTATATAAGGAGGACATGGTCTTGGTGGCCCCCGAAGCTGCTTGGAGCGCTGCCGTGAGGACACTAGGGCACCACCAGGCTTGGAGGGAAGGCACGCTGTACCTTGGAGATGCCGTCCCTGGGTTTGGAAATGGGGAGATGTGGCATCCACGAGCTATTTGAACCAGACGATGTGTCACTTGTCCCTTGCATTGTTAAAATTCTCTGGTTCTAGGGCCTTCTTTGAGGCTTCCTTCTTCCACGATGATAAAAAGCTTCAGCAGAATGGGCCGCCCAGTGGCACACTGCTACAGTGCGCCGCTTGGGAGTGTGGTGGCGCTCCCGCCGAGGGT